TTGCCCTCTGTCCCCCTCTGTCCTCCTCTCTGCCCCTCTGTCCTCCTCTCTCCCCCTCTGTCCTCCTCTCTCCCCCTCTGTCCCACAGTTATGGATGGAGTCAGAGGAGAGTGCTGCTCGGAGCTGTCCCCTGTGTCAGCTGACCTTCCCCACCGGTTACCCTGACGACGCCCTCATCAAACACATCGACTCCCACCTGGAGAACAGCAAGATATGACTTTATACCAAGCATTTCCAACCCCTGGTCACCTGACCCAGGGACAGTTTGATGAGCCTGCATGTTTCTCTCCACAGAACTGTCCCAGTGTAGCCCCGAGGTCTTCTGGTAGACGTCCCTTTGTCCTCAAGTCCATATAGTGGATTCTAACCAGCAACCCTCCAGGTATTCCACCCTCCAGAGCTCAACATCATAGCTGCAGGGTTGTGCATCTTTTCATTTGTGTTCACAGAGAAACACAACAAACATCTCTCAGAGTCACCATGTCAGTGGACGTATAAAGAGAACTGGATCCAGAGTTGAAGGGCCTCGTCCATTCCTATCAAAGTAGCTCAGTGACGCATAAAGCCAAAATGGACTGCTCTCAAGTACAAAACATACCTAGATCTTTATCTGGATTCTTATCTAAGTCTTCCTAGTCGTTTTATGGATCTTCCCTAAACTGTCCCTAGACATTCCCCTAGACCTTCCCCTAGATCTTCCCTAGAACTTCCCTAGACCTTCCCTAGACCTTCCCTTCCCTAGATCTTCCCTAGACAGGCCCTCTACTGCAGCCCCCCCCCCCCCTGGAACTCCTCTCCCAGTCACATCCGATCTGCCAACCCTCTCACGTCATTCCAAACAGCCTCAAAACTCACCTTTTCACTCTTTGCTGTCGACTCCTAACCCTCTCCCCCCGCCCACATTCCCACCCTGCTCAGCACTTTTACTTTGTGTTGTTATTTCTCTACTTGCTTGTAAAGCGTCTTTGAGCACCAGGAAAAGCGCTATATAAATAACATGTATTATTATTATTATCAGATCTTCCCTGGATCTTTGAGCGATCTTCCACATCCATGCGGTCCATAGAGCATACTTTTATTTTCCTTAAGCCCCGCCTCCAATCCTCTCCATCATGTCCGCTCTCGGCTCAGTCAGAAGAATGGACAAGGAGATAACTCTGGATTTGGCTCTTAGCACATTTGACTTCTTTTAGGCCGTAATGATTTAAAAGGCTATTCAAGGGTTTGTTCTGGATATTTGATTTAGCTCAAAAATAATTATCGATTATACAAACGCCCGGCTTGGTACAGAAAGGTGTTTTTTCTCTGTCATTATCAAAGCCTGAGTGCTACAGAAACAGAGGTAGAAAAGCTGCACTCAGTTGCACTGACACACACATGAGGATGAGCAGACCTGAGATCAGTCAGACGGCCAGCCCCAGGATGTCTCTGCTGTCATGTTTGTTTGTGAAGGTTTCCATTGTCACAAGACCTGCAATAAACTGCTGTGTTGTCAAATGATTCAGAGGTTTGTGAGTTACCAACTTGTTTGGCTGTGATAACAGGAACACTTCAAGGTTAGATTAAAGGAAACAGCAAGTCAGAACAATAGTGAGAGTGAAAGAAAGTGGAGTTCCAAAGAGAACGTTATGTAAACTCAAAGTGTGAAGGTACATTTTTTAATAAAGGAACTGCAGTCTGCAACTACTGCCATCTTTTGTGTGGTAATGAATGTGCCTTGGTTAAACCACAACTTTTATTTTGAAAAGAGATTTGAGTTTTTCTTTTTCCTTTGTAAATGTCAAATCATTTTCATTTTAATCAAATGATCATGACAGTATTTAATGATAATGGAAATCCTGACCCGGTATTTGTTACTTATTCGGTAATTATGGGTTTCTTTTAGTATCCCTGATTATGTCCTATTTCTGATAATTGTAATATAGTATATTATAGTTGTCACTAAGTATCTCCAAATTATGGGGAAACGGTGGCCTACAAAGCAAATGTATCTTATTACTCCATTGCATCTGGGCTAAGTGCTGAAAAGACGTGGACTCTTCTTGAGAAACTACTGGAAGATAATTGACTAACCCAACTGATTTCTTCCTCTTAGCGTTTATCGTTTCATTCCGAAAGCCAAACTAACGAGGCAAAAAATTAGAGAATCTATATTTATCAAGCAACAAAACCTTCATTATAACTACACACTAAAGTTTTTACCAGGTACAAAGAGACCGGAGGCCTTCCTCCCGTGAAGCCAATAAAATAAGAAGGAAGATAGAAAAGGTTCATTTTCTAGCTGTCAACCAGGTTATGACCATGTCATGTTATGCTATTTATTATTGTGTGAAACAATAGAGTGGTGCAGTGATGACATGTGTTTGCAGATCAACCCGGAAGTTAGCATCTCAACAGCTCCCTCCACGAAAAGCTATAAAAAAAAATTCTATTGGATTTTTAAATACTGCAGTAAATATGCTCTGTGGCAAACACACATTTATGTGTGTACACAATGTGTTCAGCAGGATAATCTCCATTTATTACACCACTTTTGCGGTGTCTGAAGCTACAGAAGTAAGAAGCTAACATTAAGCTATATTTAAAGGTCATCTATCATGCTATCTTTAGGCAATAGCATAGGTCTCAGATATATAAAAATATATAAAAAACATGTCTATGAGGTGTTTTGCTCAAAATACCAAACAGATCACCCATTCTAGCCATGCCTCATATCCCTCTATTTCACTTCCTGTTTCAAAAGTGCTCATTTTATATATAAAGCTTTATTTAAAAAAAGATTGATAAAAAAGAGGGGCGGAGCTTATGCCTGCTCATGCCGGAGATTCTACCGGCAGATACTGCGGTGATGAAACGCCATATCATGGATTATCAAGGGTTATTTCTGAAACAGTTTGGAGCTCAAAGGCTTTCTCTCTTGCCGGTCATACCACAAGGTGAGTTCCTTTTTATTTCCTGCTTCTTTACAGACATGCTCTGAGTGTTAGCGATGCTAATGTAAACACCGACCATATTACGTCCAAAACAGTCAGGCATTGTTTCTGATAGCTACGTTTCTGATAGGCCCGTGGGTGTAAAGCCAGCCTACATTTCCGATATTACGTCATATCGGACGCAAATCTGGATCAGCTCCATTGTAGCCCCGTTTTTAGAGATTTGGGTACGGAGGAAAAGAGAGAGGGTTTTATTTTCTGACGCTGCGTGAGTTCCCTGACACACCGGGGACACATGTTGATGTATAACAGACATCAAAAAGTGCATTTTGCATGATAGGTCCCCTTTAAACTACATCATGGTTGTATGGCTCTGCATCCCCAAGCTAAGCTAAGAGTGGCTAATGTTCAGCGTGATGACGTTTAGTGTTCTTAAGACACGTAGAAGCTCCAGACATTCACCAGTGGGGTATATACTGACATATTCCATGTTGTCAAACAAAACCTGAAAATCTCTTCCGCTTGTGTTAACCACAGACTTTATTTCAGACAACTAACCAAAAAATGATTTAAAAAACCATTGACTTCAAGACGAGGGAACCGGATTTGCTTAAATGCATTTCTGGGTTTAGAATAGGGTGACCAGACGTCCCCGTTTTCCGGGGACAGTCCCTATTTGTATTGCCCTGTCCCCGGTTGAAACTGTCCCCGGAAATGTCCCCGTTTTTTAATATACGTTAAAAACACATAGCAAGGTGAAATAAAACGTTTCATGTCAGGAAACACTGGGTAAACAGACTGTGGTCAAGCCAGCCCCCACTTCGGAAAACACAGTCAAGCCAGCACGCACGTTGTATTGCGGTGCGCGAATATCCTATGCATTACGGTAGAGGCCTGTAAAAACTGCTTTCAAAATAAAAGCATTTACTCGGTCAATAACAAATATACCTAAAAAACACTCCAAACATATTCATATATACTGGAGCTTAAATTAAGAAATGTGTACTATATAATGTGATCAATAATAATTTAAAACAAACTACGTATAACTACCACATTATAACTGAGTGAATGTAAAATGTAAGTATACAGTCATGAAGACATATCTGACATTTCCACTGGGTGACTATTTAAAATGTATGCTGTTTAAAATCTCAAATTAGATCTATTGTCCATCTATATTTTGATTATTATTTAATGGAAACCGTCCATAATCAAAGAGTCATTCGAAGTCAATCAAATACTTATTTCACTTCAGGGTGATAGCAGGAGACCCCATCTAGTCACTCAGAGAAAATCAGGACAATCTGATGTAGAATTTCAAAATAAAATACTTTTGAAATCTCATATATGGGCTATCGTCCCTCTGTTTTTATACAAGAATAAATAAAAAAACTGTCAAATCATCAAAGACTTATTTCACTCCAGGGTGATAGCAGGACACCCCATCTAGTCACTCAGAGAGAATCAGGACAATCTGATGTAGAGCTTCAAAATAAAATACCTTTGAAGTCTCATATATGAGCTATCATCCCTCTGTTTTTAGATAAGAATAAAACAAAAACTATCCAGTATCAAAGACTTATTTCACTTCAGGGTGATAGCAGGACACCCCATCTAATCACTCAGAGAGAATCTGGACAATATGGTGTACAGTTTCTCACAGTCTCATATATGTATCCAACAGTTAAAATGTTCAAATTACATTGAACCAGAATTGTCCCCCTTTTTTCTTTAACAGTGAAGAAAATTGGTTATGTTAATGATATATTGACCGCAAAACTCAAAAATGTCCCCGGTTTTAATTTTGAAAATCTGGTCACCTTAGTTTAGAACTGATTCCTCTAACTCGATCTGCTGAGGAAGACTATGTAATATAGATTATAACTCCAGAAGAAACTATTAAGATTATTTTCTATTGTTTTGAGATATGAGTATTTTAGATTATGTTTTCAGTTCAATACAATGGCAATTAATGGAACATCAACGGCAACATTTCAACCACAATACAGCTATTAACAGTGAGGCTGTATTCAGTGTAATGCCTTGAGTTAAGTGCTAACATCAACATGCTGCTAACAGCAAGCTCTATAAAAACAGTCGACAGGGTGCTCTGTGGATTATTCACAATTTACTTTTCAATCTTCTCCTCTTGTTCTGTATATGGTTGGAAGCAGACATCTCTGAGACAGCGATCAGAAAACTATACCCCAAAAAATGTGCTATAATTCATTTAAGGTTGTCATTGTATCATGCCTGTGCCGATCACACCACACTAGACAACCCTTTTTAGTTTCAATCAGATGATTTGTTCTTGTCTGAATGCTTCTGTGTGCTGATCCTGGTAAGAAACAGCTGGAGGCTGCTCACCTGATTCAGTATATTCATGAAAATATTAACAGATTATTCCTTTAAGGTTTCTGATCAACAGTGGAACAACTCTACTGGTATACTGTACGTCTTCCCAAAAACACATGGCACTGAAGAGAAGGTGCACAGGTGTACATAGCAACACATGTACAATATCTCATTTGACAACATAGATGACATTCTATGTTGTGTGTACAGTAAATATACTATGTTAGGGCTACATTTGAAAACATCAGAATATTTTTGTATTGATGTGTTTCTCCAAATGTTTTAATCTTTTGCACCTCTCACCTCTTGAAAATGAAGAATATTTATTTTAGTTTCTGGTCATTTTAAAGAATAACTTTGTAACTTTTAGTTGCCTCTCTTGAACAATGCCAAGCTCCTCTGCCATTTAGAATCCGTTTTAGAACATAACTGTTTTGACATGGAACTGGAAAATAAGGTCTGCATATGAAACATGTTGTGCCTATCTAAAACAAATCAAATAGTAGGCTTACTAGCTTCTACACGCTAAAGCAACTGTAGTCAGGGAGGCAAACTCATCAGGTATGAAAAAGGTGACAAGGATCCGAGCCCCCCGACCCCACGGAATATCGGCTTTAAAATGAGGAATAACAGGATTTTAGCAGTCAGAACAACTAAAGCAGCAGTTAATAACAGAAACGCCAAAGAGTCACATCTAATAGAAATATATAAAAGCATTTATTTTAATTGTGTAGCAGTCAGTTTATAATTTTGGCAGCACTGTTGAGCATTTTGAAAAATTATTTTCATGCCTCTGTGCAAGGCTTAGTCTTTCTATCTTTATAGCCACTGGTGTAAAGTAACTAAGTTCATAAACTCAAGTACTATACTTAGGTACAATGTTGAGATACTTGTACTTTACTTAAGTATTTCAATGTTTTGCTACTTTGTTCTTCTTCTCCTCTACAATTCAGAGGTAAATTGTATTTAATACCTTTAGTTACTTCACAGATCTGGATGAATGATGTGAAATATAATCAAGTGTTGAATCAGACTTTAGTTCCACCTGGAGTAAATCCACAAGCTACCCTGCAGTATACAAAGTCATTCAAACTAGCTGCACCTTCACCAGCTTTGAGAACACTTTAATGATCAATCTTTATAAAACATATCATATCTATTATTCTGAAATGGACCAATCTGCACAATGACTACTTTTACTGTCGCTACTTTCACTATATTTTGATGCTGATACTTTTTTACTTTTACTTGAGGAACATTTTGAATGCAGGTCTTATACTTGTAACAGAGTAATCCTACACTCTGGTACTTCTACTTTTACTCAAGTACAAGATCTGTGTCCTTCTACTTTGACTCCAGTACAAGATCTGAGTAGGCTACTTCTACTTTTAC